GCCGCTGACCGCCCCCCCCCCAGATGGCCTCTGTGCGTGGAGCGAGGAGGAGTGCCGGAACTTCGAGCACGGCGTCCGGGTGCACGGCAAGAACTTCCACCTGATCCAGGCCAACAAGGTGAGCGCCCCCGCGGGGGCCGCCGGGCTCCGGCCCGCGTGCGCCTCGGCCTCGTCTGTGGGTGAGAGCTGGGCAGGGACTCTCCTGGGGCGCAGTGTGGCGGAGGCGCCCGCCCGCAGCTGCGCCTCTTGGAGTGGCCCCGCGGCGCCACCTCCCAGACCTCTGCAGGCGCCCGGGGGCCCACGGCGCTGGGCCGGGCCCCGCTGAGGGCGGCCGGGCGGGCGGGCGCTCTGTGCACAGCCCTCACCCGCCGCAGACCTGAGCCTCCTGCCCCAGGCCCGTCCCTGCCTGCTGGAGAGCTGGGCTCCCCGCTTTGCGTGACCTCTGACCTCGCGCCCCCACCCCCGCCTCTGCCCCGCCTCCCCCTGCCTGACCCCTAGGTCATGGGAGCCAGGTGCATGCTTGTGCTGTGTGGGGGGGCCGTCTTTGTGGGGTGCAATGTGTAGCTTTGCCTTTGGCTTGCTTGTGCTGTGCTGTAAATATGTACCTGAGTTTGGGGCTCACAGAACCCCATGTCTCATTTAGTGGTGTCAAGGGACCCCCGGACAGCACTCTGGGGTGTCTCAGCAGTGCTCTGTGGGAGAAATGGGCTCAGCTAACCGACACTGATTCTCTCCTGCTCTATTGGAAATGGGGGTGGGGGAGCCCCGGGCCCAGGGCTGGGAGTATTCACCCTGAGCCCCCGGGTGCTGGGGTCTCGTAGTGTCCCGTGCCCTCTCCAGTGTCCTGGCCTGAGGACCCCTTGGGAGCAAGGGCCCGGGCGGACACTTCACCGGCTCCCTCCCTGAAACCTGCACGAGGGACAGGGTCCTGGGGCCTGTGTCTGGAGTGACCCGCAGACCCACAGCAGAGGTGCGGTCCTGTGCAGCAGTGGTGGGGGCACCGCCGTGCTCAGGGCCAGGGGCCGAGCCCCCTCCACGGGGGCCCAAAGAAGAGACAGGAGGACCGCCGAGCCGAGACGGGAGCAGGCGCGGGGCCGAGGGCCCCCTTTGTGCAGGCCTGGCGGGCGCTGGCCAGGAGCGGGGGGCCGGCCGGGCGGGCAAGCCCACGCTGCTGTGCTCCCAGGTGCGGACTCGCTCCGTGGGCGAGTGTGTGGAGTACTACTACCTGTGGAAGAAGTCGGAGCGCTACGACTACTTCTCCCAGCAGACTCGGCTGGGCCGACGAAAGTGCGGCCTGTCGGGAACCACGTGCGTGAGCTCCCGGGGCACCGGGGGGGCGACGGTGGGCCTGGGTCCCGGCCAGAGCCTCGTGCAGCTCCTAGCGGGAATGGGGTACAAGTGGGGGCTCTGGGGCCTGTCCAGGACCCTGTGAGTGCAGCCTCCAGTGGGAACTGGGGCGTGAAACTTGCGTCCTGGGAGTTCCGCTCCTGCTGCCTCACGGCACCCTCCCACAGGGACGCGGACCAGGATCTGGACGGCAGTGATCCTGACGGCCCTGCCTGCCCTCGTTCCTCGCTGTCCCTGCCCGCTGCTGCCGACGGGCTAGACCCCGACCAGGAGCCCCTGGCCCGGATGCGCACAGGTGAGACTGCGTGGGGCCCGCGTGGGCAGCTCCCCTCACTGGTGGACGCTGGTGGTCACACCTGTCGAGTCCCTGGGCCCTCTGGCATTCCGGGTGGAGAGGAACTGTGCTTCTCAGCCCTGAAATGGGGTCTCTGCCTTGGGCCCCCAGGAAGGGTGGGTTCAGCCCCAGCCACCACGCAGGGGATCGGTAGTGCCTGTGCCATTGCCAGGGTCCACTCGGGAGCAGGACGGGGCCTTCAGTGTCTGAAGGTGGCCCGCACCGAGCTCGGGACGTTTGGGTCCCGATAGGGATACCCCCGGTTCCAGGACTCAGTGGGCCCGTGGCTGACCAGGGGGTGGCCGCGGGCGCCCAGAGCCGCCCCCACCTGGCCCGTCCGCAGCTGGGCCC